ATCTGCTCATTAAATATAAAAGCATGAAAACCTCTGCAGACTAGATGAATGATTTAGATTTGCGGAAGTTGGTTGAAACTGACAGCAGAAAGAACGCACAAACTGCCAAGCGTTTTAATAAAAGAGAAGAGAAGCTATTTGAACAGTTGACCACCACCTAAAAATCTATAACATGAACCTACTACTGCAAAAAAGTATCATTCTTACACAGCTGTCATAAAAACAGCGTTTCAGACAAAAACTTAAATCTGCATTCTTTTTTCTTATAACTAATGGACGATAAGAATAAAAAAAGAATGCTCAAAAAAACTTTATGCCAAATTTCTTATGAGGCTATTGATTCTGGTAGAATTCAATGTAATTAATAATAAATACGTGCACCGCAACTGCAATAGAAAAAAAAATTAGTAAAAATTGCTTAAGTCGTACGAAAATCCATGCCAACGCAAAAAGTTGACGCAAATAAGCAAAAACTGATTATCCGAAAGTTATATTTTTTGAAGCACGGACCCTAACAGTTCAAAAAATGAACAAAAACCTCAGCGCCAAAGACTCAGATTTGAACGACGCTTAACTTGATTGAACAGTTTTCAATAAACCTGATGTTAGGAGTCAAAGAATACAAAATATTTAAACTTTGTTGAGGAAAAAGACACGTTACGAGTCGGTCAAAACAAAATCGAACTTAAGATAGGAACGTTTTTGAACACAAAGTCGAACACAAAACCGTCACCATCGAACACTAGTTCAAGCACAAAGTCAATTCGGTCGAATCAAAGTCAAACAAAATCACAATTTTTTATCACAATAACCCGCCACTTACCGTGTTGTAAGAACGCAAAATAATGCGCGTTAATTATCCCAAATTTTCCAAAGGGCAATTTTAAAGCTCAATATAACAATAAAAAAATTGCTCCGGATATCAAAATCCTTAAGATCAAAAATTTCTCAGAAAAACTATTTTGAACTTCGATTAAGGTCAGAATGAAAAAAAAAATCGGCCCAAGCATAGATTTTCGGTTTTTTTTCGGAAAATCGGTCCTACAAGTCTGCTCGTATCACAGTGAAGCCTTGAGTGATCTGACTGCACTTTACGACCAATAAAAAAAGTATTCACTTCAAAATAAAATTAAAATTAAAGTTTAAGCTTTTGAAAACTATTTCCGCGCATGCTATGTACAAAAACAAAGTGAACGAATTCGCATTAAAAAGTTATTTTTAATGGACCAATAGCACGTCTCAGTTCATTTCGGTAAGTTTCCTAAGAGAGAGTGAATCTATCGCTTACGCAAAAAAGGCACAAAATATATCGCGCGTTCATAATCAAAAGTCGTCAAACTGACAATCGTAAACACTTCCATAATTTTACAAACAAATGACAACAAGTAAAAAAAATTGACTTTGAATTCAAGACAACAATATTTTTTTTAGCTGATATGAGCAATTCTGTCAAAAAATGCTTGTAAAAACCAATCCCAACATAATTAAGTTGTCAGTTGTCACTTTCTTTGAAAGTTGGAACCACAACCCATTATGTTTGTGGTTGCGACCATTTGGAAAGGAACTTTGCGTTCGGGTGTGTTTTTTTTCGGTTTTTTTTTGTTTTCCGCTGAAAATCAGGTACCACAAATCAGTATCGGAACGGGTCGAATGATATGTCATAAGTAGGCTTTTTTGATTTTAGTTTAAGTTCGAAAGAATAAAGCGAGCGATAAGGCTTACAATATAATATTTTAATAGCTGACGAGCGTACAATAGCCTAATTTAAGCAGTGAAAATTTAATTTTACTCAAGTAAAATTAGTTTTTTTTTAATTGTTTAGCTGATTTTTGGAAACAAAAGCTTCAAAAGTTAAAAAAAACTGTTAAAAAAATAAAACACAAATTTGAAATTTTTTGACTTTTTTGTTTTTCGAGTCTATAATTTTTAAAATTGCTGATAGTATTATGACTGTCAAAGATGCTTGAGATTTAGTTTTGTGTGCAGCTTCTTTGATCACGTCGGAAAAAAACAACCCTAATTTGCAAAAAAAAAATTGTTGTATTTTTAAGAATATGTCGGAAAATTCTGTGCTAATTGGACAGTAACCAATTATCCTTGTGTTCAGTTTAACAGTAGCTTGATCAACATAAACGCAGACGATATAAAAAGCTGAAACGAGGAGGCTCACACATATTTTGTATTAGTAGTAAGCATTGTTTTCGACAACGACAGAAATTGCCACCATGTAAAACAGTATGTTAGAAAACAAACAGATTAATCAAAGACCATTTAAATGACTATTACAACAAAAATAATCACTGATATAATTAGTATATAGCTTTTAACAAACTTATTGGACAACGTCTTAAGTTTTTGAAATGATTCTGAACTTGAGACGGTGAAATAGCTTTAAAACTACAATCGAGTTTTCAAAACTGTATTCAAACTGTCAAAAAAGCAATGCAAAATGATTGCACTTTTCAGAGATTATCATTTTTGTCTATTTTTAAAAGCACAATAAAGGAAAACTTTTCATTCAACAGCGATTTGCCATGTCATTTTTCAGAGCAAAAACACTCATAAATCGCCGACAAAAAGGCAAATGCGAATCTTCAAACATTACGAGACCAAACTGTGCATTTTGTGCATTGTAAGCGGATTCCGCAACAAGGAAGCTCCCTTTGTTCTTCTTTTGTTCTTTACTTTCCTTTGATCGTTTCGGACGCTTTTTCCTCAGGGATTCGACCCCCTGCCGACCCAAAGGGCCCCCCTTTGATACTTTTTAAGAAATCCATTTTTGGCCGACCGACCCTAAAATTTTTCCAAAGACGTCTTCGGCGCCAATATATACTAATTTTGAGGGGGGACCGCGCGCCGAAAAAACCCAATTTTTCGGTCAAAATTTTCCAAAAAGTGCCTAAAAACGCCTTTTTTGGCCTGTTTTTTCAAAATTCTGCCTGCGGCGCAAAAAATTTGACCAAAATTGGGACAAAACCGTGCTTTGGGAGAGCTCGAAAAATCAATTTGGTCGACCTAAAAAATTTTTTTTTGAAAATACGCCCCCCCCCTCGAGAAAATCCTAGATCCGCCCCTATCCAGTGCACAGTTTGGCCTCGTAATGAAGAAGTTTTCATTTTGTTTAAATTTGAAGGCCTTAGTTTAAGTTATTTCAGAAGTTTAATATTTTGTCCGATCAATTTGTTAAGAGATATAGTACCTTCATGTTTCATTAAGTCAAGGCGATAGAAAGATATCAAATTTCTGGTCGACGCGGTCGAAACAATATATTTTTTATCGAGCTGCTCGAAATATAAACCTCAAACTTACACACCAGATGTATAAATTGTAGTTGGAGTAATGAAAAAAGATCCTCGCTTCAGAAAACCTAAACGTAACGCTTTGGAAAACGCGGATTTTCGATCCAAGCATTAATTTTTCTTAAATATAGCAGGTTTCTGAATATTCAGCGTCACTCACACAGCTACTGGCTATTCTTACTTAATATTGGTCTTATTGCATGGCTAGCAAGGCTAGGGTAACATGGCTAGTCATTCTATTTGTACACCAAACAGTCTTCGTACCTATTCAGATAAGCTAGTCTCTATTATCATGATTGTTTATTTTAGCATCTATACTCTAAGGGGGTCCATTCCACTTATCTAACTAGCTTTATTAAATTACATATTTGATCATCATATACTCATAATGGAAAAATCGTCATCAATGAGACGAAAATCCAGAAGAATTGACTTTTTCTCTTGCATATTTGCTTTTTTCTTTTCCTAAATTCTCAGTAAAGAAGTCGACCTGACGGTTGTATGAGTTCAACTAATAACGCTTCCCTTTCATATGCAAGATCATAGGCCAGCCAGACAGCCCTATCCAAAGGCCTTTTGTTCTCTAGAAAAGTGTTTGAAATCTCTGGGCAATTATTGTGATCAAGCCATTCCCAATCTGTTCAATCAATTTGCCCCTTGTCCCCATGCCGCTTTTTAAGCTTTTTCATGCCAAAGGTCACGTGTTCTGATGTTTGTTCAGTTCATTTTCAGTTGTGTTGAGTTGGCAGCCTGCAGCTCCATCAGAACGGGACTTTCCTGCCCGCTTCAATTAGCGTCTGAGGCTTAAAAGACAAGCCGTCTTAAAAGGTTACTTAGCTTCCTAAAATCTGTACTGAAAAGTGCATTCAAGAAGTGCCCTTAGCCTAAAAGTAAATGTGGAGAGCATATGAATATGTATGTCAAAATGCGTATCATGGTATGCTACAGTTGGTTGATTTTCGGCTAGTCAGACCAAGGGTGTGTTTCCCATTTGCTCTTGATTAAGGTGAGATGGTACAAAGAGCACAATTGGTGCAAAGATTGTCTTTTCGATTCCCCATCAAAATGCCGGTGTTAATATGCCACCCACCATATAAAACATATTATAACATATGTACCTCTCTACTCAACAGCAGCGTATTTGACTATGATGGATGGATTATTCTCTTCGTAGCAAAGGGGCACATCTTTAGTGTTAATACTACCCGCAAATTCTATCTTACCCGCCAAATAACTACGCCCACAGGGTTCTTATTTTTTGCTCCTTTCTCTGGTAATGGTAAACAAAAGCCAAGTAAACTCTGTCAGATTACTTCCTGTACTCTAAATTGAAAAGCCAGGATTAAGCTACAAAAGCAACAAGGTTGACTCTTTCAATTGGGCTCTGCGACACTTCCTTTCTAATATTGATTAGTTTCCTTTTTAGTATGATTCTATTTTTTTCTTAATTTTAATTTTTTTTTCTAAAATGAATTATAAGAGTCCGATTCGGCTCCTCCTTGTCTAAAAAGGATTGTACTCCAGTTTAATTTCCGTAACAATGACTTCACGATCGACTGAATGAAAAAATACTTTCAATTTCAGCGCTGCCCTCTACAAATTCCCATGTTTAACTAGCAATAGTCAATCGCATTTTTCAAAGGAAAATTATAAATAATTACCTAGAAACCGCGGAAAATAATCAACTTAGAATCCATATAAAAAAGGGTTATTGTCAATTTTACTTGTATGCAGCTCTTTTCCTGTTCGATATTTGCGTAGGGGGAAAGGGTTAAAAGAGAATAAAAATTGATTGTTTGTTCATACTACTACGAAGTAGATCCAAAATTGAAATAATTACGGGAATTTATAGTACTTTAAGCGTCTCGTTTATCATCCGTTTTCCATTTTTGACGCTGTCATCATTCTAATCCTTGTGATGTACTCAGGGCAATCTCACATAAATTTACTAAATGCAATTTTAGCAATGGGATTTTCCGCATGACTGGGCACGGATTTGTGCCGCATTTTAAACACTTCATTTTGGACAAGAATTCAAAATCAGAAAATCCTATTTCAACCCATGCAAAAAATCACTCACAAATCACTCCATTGCAATTTTTCGTCCAAAAAGCACGAAAGACCAATAATTGAAGACATTTAAGCTGAAGGCTATCAATCTCCATAAAATTAACATCTAAATTTTGTAGTGGCTTCAGTAAAAATCACCCTGATCGTCCAATCTAGATCTGGTACTGCTGTCGTGCTAATTGCGAAATTCAAGCCCGGGTATTATTTATGCACCCATGCTATTGCATTTTTGTTCCTGGGAGACAATAGGTATACATTTTTGCTATCTGACTTTCTTTGTACTTTTTTCAATTCGACTTGAATTAGCGCAAAATCAGCTTTTCTCTTATCTTCTGATTTTCTTTCTTATCAACTCGGTGCATTCCCGGTCCTAAATTGGCTTCCTGGGATTTTCTATTCATCTGAATTGAGGAAAAATACGAAAAAGTTAGATGAAAATAGATTTTCTCCTAATTATTCCGTGGTCTCATTTACCATATCAGGATTATATAGTCACGCGAAACGACAAACTCGATTAGAAAGGTAGTTAATATCACTAACAAAATTTCATATCTTAATTTTCAATCTTTTTGAGTTTTGTCATTCTGATTTTGAAATTTTTCATTGGCATCATCGAACTCATCTGCGAGCGTCATTATTGTAGTTGAACAGAAAGGAAAAAATTGGGAAAGAGTGAGATTCGGAGAAAAAACACTTTTTTGTTCTTTCCTTTCAGCTTTTGGACATAACGCGTAACTCGATCTGATTTTCTATTAATTTACCCCTCAAATTCCCCTGCTCTTCACTCGCGTGACAAATTAATTTTTCACTCCAAACGCCCGCGTCAGATTAGAGGAAAAATGAACAAAATTTGGCGAATTTAAGACGTAAAACTGTTTAATAGTTTCCTCTCAGAAACAAAAAAGGAAACAGGAAACAGTTTTCCCCTCCGCTTTTTTAAAAACAAAATTGTATCCAACCAAAATAATCAGAATATTTGAAAAAAGAGAGCTAGAAATAAAACCGATTGAACACGGAGTGTTATCTTAACAGCAAAACGGCATTAATGGTATTTTAATAGAGGCAAACACACAATTTATGCTCCTGAAGCGAGCGAACGAATAACGGAGTATTAGCAAAGCAGCTTCCCAATCTTTTTTCCTTCTTACCATTTTACTTACCATTCATAACAAATTTTGTTAATCTCCTAATAGCGTTTGAACTCGCTACTTATCCTTTCAAGTTGCGAGAATCAAGCTGTTAGTTGAGTTGGTATTAATCTGTTGAGGCTATCTTATCACCATCAACCCCATATTGACTCCAAAGATTGGACGGTCTGTAGAAACTGAATTAAACTTTAAAGCAGGTGTTAATCTTCGAAATCAAATTTATTGTTTTTTCAGCACTTTTCTCTATTTTACTGTATAATTTTTTTGTTTCAAGCAGCTTCTAATGAGCTGAAAAGAGTGCTTTAGAGTCTGTTTGTTTGATTATTGTTTTTCAATAATTTCTCATTTTCCCGTTGTTATAGCTGAGACGAGAGGACAAATTGAAAAGCAATATTAATTCTAATCCGATCTCTCTGAGGGAGCAGCAGTGAAGAGAGAGAGGGTTGTGTGCGTGTGCGTGTGCGTGTGGGCAGTGAAAGTGAGTCTAGTAAGTAGATTGTGTTGCATCTGAGGAAGGGGAGGACGGGACGACGGAGTCAGGGGTAGGCACAGGGGCAGCTCAGAATTAAAGTCAAGTCCAATCAAATCAAACGACAGTAAAAAAGGAATTAAAACGGAAAAGAGTGGGGGCACAGGAACGGAAGGGGAAATAGCTAGCCTGCTTCGCTCTTTTTTCTCTCTCTCTCTCTCTCTCTCTCTCTCTCTCTCTGTATCTCGCTTCGCCCTACGTTGATGGATGGGCCCATACATTGTGCTGCAGTAGCAACAAACGTTAATGAAAATGAAGAAAATGGAAGAGAAAAACCACCACCCCACCACAATCTCTAACACTAACAACACCCATACATTTGAGCTCAGAAGCAGCAGCAGCAGCAACATCAGCGAAACCGTTAATTTACAACTGGGAAAACAGTTTTTTTCTTTAAAACCCATTTCGCTTTCAATCAAAATTATAGTTCGATATTTCCAATAGCGAAAACGTAAGCGTAAAAAGCTTTTTATTTGTCCCATTTATCGCTCAGGAAAAAAAAGGAAGAGAAAAAAAAGAAGACGTGAAAATCCACATTTCATCCAAATTAATTTTCTGAAAATTCCTCTCTCGTTTTATTTCGCATTAAAAACATTGCTTATTTTATCCACCTTAGCTCGCTTATCTCCAGTCAATTTATCAGTTTATGACTTTTCAATTTTTCTGTTCATAAATTCAAACCCTAGAGCGCCATTCCGTTCAAGTTTTCCATATATTTATTACTCTCTATGATTTAGGCCATTCCCAAAAACAGCAGCTAATTTTACAATTTTTGTTACATTAAATTAGGCTTTAGATCTCACATAATGCAATCTAAGAATCGATTGAAAGTTACATACTTTCTGTTGATTATAGCGCTGTTCAAATTGAATTCGTACGTCGAAAGCTCCTCGCTGTCGGAAATTCGACTATCAGTTGACGAGAACTTGCCACCAAATGTAATAGTGGGTGCTCTGGGAAGAGACAAAATATCATACGAAGATACTTTAAAACGAGACAAGAATTTCACATTTGTTTTATTGGACTCTGGGGAGCTCCAAATCCGAACCCGGACTACTCTCGACCGTGAAAAATGTCCGGAAGAGTTCTTCGAAAACCACCAATGTGTTATTGCCGTTCCACTAATTTACAGCAACGGTTACTCGGATGTTTTGATCACAATTAATGACGTTGACGACAACAAACCGAAGTTTGAGAAGGAAAGGTTAAACCTCTGGTTTCCTGAAAACACGATGGTCGGCAGCAAGTTCCCCGTCGACCAAGCTTTTGATGACGACTCGCCCGCGAATGGCGTTTTGGATTACGAGCTAAGAGAAGTTAACGTATTCGACGAAGACGCAGTCGGTGTTTTCCGACTCGACAAATGGACGCGGCAAGGTGATGGCGCCATAATGCCTCGACTTGAACTCGTGCGCGAACTAGACTACGAACTGATTCAGAACTACAGCCTCGAGTTGATCGCTGTCGGAGCCGAGTACCACTCGGTGCTACCCATTACGATTCTGGTGCAGGATATTAACGACAATTCACCACAGTTTGGCCACTCAAATCTGCACGCGCTCATTCCAGAAGACGCAAAAGTGGGCTCAATAGTGTCTAGTGTTGAAGCCACCGACATAGACTCAGGCGAGAACGGACGAATCGAGTTCAAGTTCTCGGTGGAGTCTATGGAAAGCACAGGATACTTCGAAATAGACAAAGACACTGGCAACATTTACCTAAGAGAGTCTCTAGAAAATAAAGGCGGAACCAAGCACAGTATAACAATCATTGCCAAAGACTGCGGCGAAAAGCCCCAGACTGACATGATGAACTGGAACTTCGAAATTGAAGATATAAATGATTTCAAACCTGAAATTAAGTTTCGTCCCACCGGGGGCTGTTATCGCAATGGATCCTCTTATTTAATCCCCGAAAACTACGGCGAGGATTCAGGAGGAGGTCGGAATAAAGTTCTCGGTATTTTCACAGTTGACGACGAGGATAAAGGTCTTTTTGGAGACACTCAGTTGTACATGTTAAACGGCAGTGAGTACTTTGAGCTAGTTTCAACTCGATCTAATTCGTATTTGTTCAGACAGAAGTTCAGTTTCGATCACGAGGAAGAACCGACTGAGTTCGCATTGATGTTCACGGCCCACGACTGCGCCTCGGCTATTCAGACTGCGACTTATAACTGCTCTCGGCTGGTCACGAATCAAACTATTGTATTTGAAATTGCTGATGAAAACGATAACTGGCCTCGATTTGAGCAGCACAGCTACGAAGCTTACCTAACCGAAGAGGAGTCTATTCGTGAACTTATTCAAGTCGTTGCCTATGACGAAGACAGTGGATTGAACGGGGAGCTAGTATACTCCATAAGTAGCAAGAATCAAGCTTCTAGTTTTCTGAAAATTGACTCAAAAACTGGCTGGATAAGTACTGTTACACCTTTGGACAGAGAGCAATTAGGTTCTGAAATCGATATTTTTGTGCGAGCATCTGATTTGGGAAGTCCACCCAAACATGCAGATACCAAGTATCGGATCCATCTGAGTGACACGAACGATAACCCACCGAAATTTCAGTCGGCCGACAGCCAAACTTACCGACTGGAGCTTCGCGAAAACGAACCTGCAGGTGCTTGGGTGGGAAACATAGATGCTATTGATCCGGATACGGATAACTCGGATGTATACTACGAATATGAACCAATATACCAATCGGACAGGACTTTGTTCAGAATTGACCGAACAACAGGGAAAGTGTTCTCTCTTTATGAGTTCGATTTCGAAGAGGTAGCCAATCAGTATTCGGATTACAAAGAGCAGGGATACTTTCTGTTCAAAGTGCGAGCCACCGAGGAAACAAGAACACTCAGAATTGGTCATGACGGGCACAGTGAAATTGAAGTGCAGGTTCGAATAACTGATGACAATGACAACCCGCCCCAAATTGATTTCACGCGAACTGAAGTTAACGCCATTATTCCTTGGGATGCGTACAAAAAGTATCCAATAGTCCAAGTATTCGCTAGAGACAGGGATACTTCATGTAAGCTTACTTATCAAATCAGAAAGAGCTCGGCAAGCCATAGGTTTCAAGTAGACAAAGACACGGGTGAAGTATTCACAAAGAATGATTTGGGTGTTTATTCCGACATCGCAACTTCAGATCAGGACTACACAATCACAGTCCAAGTATCTGATGGTCAATTCGTAGCACCTGTCCAGATATTTATTCGTCTGTCGGCTAATTGGACGCTGTTCAACCATAGCATGGCTGCCAATGAGAACAAAATAACAGAGTTTGCTAACTTCATCACCGAAATTCCTCGAATAGCTCTTTACTTGACAGCTCTAGTTATTTTTGTTGTCCTGAGTCTTATTTGTGTCTGGGTGGCGTTGATCATCAGGTTCCGCGGGTCGACCCACCGGCGAATGCGGCGTGAGAAGAAGAACAAGCAGATAGCAATGGATATCACCCTCCCTTATCATCACACGCATAATCATTTGCAGCTGGAGACGAAGCGCATCTCAGACGCCTCCTCTGGTCTGTATGCACATCCCTATAGCAAGCAGAACAGTGGCGTCAAGTATGGAAACGGACACTTGTCAGACCAGGAGAGTCCCACCGACTCACAGCTGATGAGCAGTCATACTATGTCCATGCGCAATGCATATGCAGATGCGGACGGTGAGTGCGAGCATCATTCCATAATTCACCTGTGTGCCGAATAATCAGGAGAAGATCTTATTGTTCTGACCATTGAAATTGGGGAGGAACTTTGTATTCGGGTGTGTTTTAGTGTTTTTATTTTGTTTTTAACACAAGCATGTACCACAAATAATCATCGGAGTGGGTTGAGCTGGTTATAATCATCGGAATGGGTTGAGCTGGAAAATTTTTGGAAAAATTTTCCAAAAATTTTTCTCAGTATCGATAGATGGTTTGAATTTTTTTTCTAATTTCGAGCGAATAATACAAGAGAGCAGGCTTGAAGTAGGCTTTATAAAATAGTTTAGTTTTGAACTTAACTTATAAAACTAACGATTACTTAATTTTAATTGAGTAAAAATTGTTCTCAAATATTTCACATTGATCCTTCTTGGGAATAGAAATTTAAGAGACGAATCCAAAAATTTATCTAAACTTTTCTGAATTTTGTTTTTGAGTTTTTTAATTTATTTTATGTGAAAAACTGTTGTCAAACATACCTTATTTACTTTTACTATTCTTTTTTTGTACGTGGAAACGAATTATGTGAACAAGTGATCAGTTGGGGTGTCGATTTCGGTTTCATAAGAGCTATTTGTTAGGGAGAGAGTGCCGCCAAAAAACGCGATCTAAAACATGGTTTGGTGTCATATCCTTTCAGAGATGTGAAAGCTTAAGATAGTGCTATCCCAGAGTCTTATAGTGGGTATGAGTATAAGGGCATCTGATTAAGGAAAAATAACATCTCTAAAAAGGCTGGTTTTTGCTCATAAAATAACAGACGGAATTTTTAAATTTAAGACTTAGGGTAACTGCGGTTTGTATAATTTATTTACTGCTCCGTAGTGTTGATTTTTCTTCTTTTTGATGAAAATCTGTGAAAACCCAGCGTTGCTTACCTTGTTAATTAATATTTCATTTGAGTTTACGCAGTAAAAGGTGGAAATCAATCGGAGCTCCCGTGCTGTTATGACTCTCGTATACCTGGTTTTCACTTCTTAACAAGTTGGATAGTCCCCTCGAGTCAAAAATCAAAACTAATCAATTAATTTCAAGGATTTCCGCATTATCAATTTTCTCTGATTTTAGCGCCGAGTCTGCTTTAATTTCCCATTATTCCATTTAGGCGACTAGTTCAAAATCACTTTGATCTTAAGCCGCCTTGACTTTCCTAGCATTAGCTGCATGCGTCATTTGCCCTGTAGCAAAAGAAAAAATTATTTTTTTCCATTTTCTTTGTTTTTTTTTCAAATGATTTTTCTTCCTTAAGTCGCATGCTGTCTCTTCTTTGTACATGCAACTCTTCGGGAAGATTAAACTGAATCAGTATTGCATCACCGTTGCACCTCGCTGCTTGTACCTTTGTTAACATTTTCTCAAATTATTCCCCTGGGCAATTACACTGCAATCAGCGCCGGTATTGAGAAAGTGCATTTAAATTCAAACATAACTAAATCATCATTATTTCACTAATGCATGGTTGAAATGTTCAAATGGGTTTGCAAGATAAGATAAAATTGAGAAACATTGGTCATCATCTAGCGCCTTTTGCGATTTAGTTTCTCCCCAATGAGGTGGTACCACAAAGCTCAAGTTACCATCAAGTAGCGGGGAAATGAATTAGTTCAGGGTATTCATTTTCGATGTTCACCCATAGTCTCAATTTGGTCGTACTGTACCAAATTTACTTGAATACCTGCAAAAATCACAAACAAAATTTTTTCAAAGAAACCTCACTTATAGGTTTTGAAGAGTTACTATAGTTTAATTCGAGTGTAGAATTATTTGAATGTCAAATTGTAGACCCCCTTTTAAATAGTTTTTGCGTCATCATATTTATATTTTTGAACTTACAATTGAAAGGGATAGACTGAAGACGTATAGCATGTCACTAGTGATTTTGATCCTGTATTGACCGAATTGCACAAAAAAAAATCTTTTTCCCAAAAAAAAGTAAAACTGCTTGCATCAATGCAAAGCCCTGAACCTTCCGATTGCTTTTATACGTGTCAGATGTAATTTATATTCAATATTGGTAAAACTTCACAAACTTGGCAAGTCACATATTTTACACTTGATTTTATTATATTTGAACCAATTAGCTTACCTTTTTTTATTCAGAAAGGCTTTCGTAGCCGTACAAATTCGCCGCTAACGCTAAGTTTTTTCGTTTATATGTCTTTTACCTCACAAAATTGAGCCAACAGGGTTGATAATGAAAACAACATTTGAAAAGTTTTTGAAGTTAATTTTTCATTACCGCTGGAACCTTTAGGTTTGCACAATTTGAGAGGAACCCCTTAAACGCAATAGTTTGCGGTAAAAAATTTTTCTTGAGTGACTATTGCTCTCTATTACTCTGATGGAAATTTCCTTGGGTACAGAAGCTTGTTCAAGCTTCAAACTAAAAGAAATGCTTAAACAGAATCAATTTTGATGAAACTCACTACCTTGCAAAAGTCTATTTGTATCGATTTTCATCCTTTTTTGGCAAAAAAAAAATCTTTTTTTTTTCTAAAAAGATACATTTTTTCTACCGTAAAATGCATTGAATCCATTGTAAATCGGTGTACGATCCTAAATGCGCTGCCAACCAACGTTCGATTTCTGTACAGTATATTACCTGTGTAAAAATCATTTTAAATCAATTACAAGCTCAAGTTTGTCAGTGCGGGTAGGACATCCATCCATATCGATTGGATTGAAAAAAATGTCAAAAATTGTTAGTTAACAATCGAGCCTTGTTGAAAGAAAAATATCCTGAGCACAATTTATTTTTGCAATTTTTATAAAAAACGAAGCAATCCCAAAAAAGATAAATTAAAGCAATCCAAAACTCTTTTAGATAAATTAAAGATATTTTTTTCTTTTTAGTGTAACTGAAAATTTGAGTTGTATCAATCGTATTTTGCATTTCGGGAGCAAAACTCTATAAAACTTGGACATAATTGAGAAGAAAACATAAAATTTTTTTATTTACCAGGGTGTACAAAGCTATTTTGAAATTTTTCAAAGTTTTCCAGATTTATTTGACAAAATGGTTATGAGCTTTTATTTTGTCACACTTTAACAAAAAGAAGAAAAATTAGTAGTTCTCGCAAAAATGCAATTTCTGTTTTTGATTTGTTTTAAATTCAAGTTGGTTCATATTAAATTATTTGATTGAACTTCAAATTAATTTATAAAATTGAATGAAATAGTTTTCCCCATATTTGTTTAATTTTTTCGATACCACTTTTTCGATACCGCAAAACCCCCGGGTCAATAAAAGGTGCATACGTTAAACCTCACAATTAAGTCTTTCTTTCATTATAAGATATCAACTCACTCCCCGCCTTAAAATTTCATGGATAAAAATCTATGAATTTTGAGTTTCATTCTCAGTATCTTAAAAAGGGAAGAACATCAGATATAATCAGCTAGAAATAGGTTATTTTACCAGTATTTACTAAAACAATAAAATCTATTGCAAATCATTTAAAATCAATTTTTTTCACTGTTTCAGATAAAGACAAGGAAATTCAATTTAAAACAGTTCTCAATGCAAAGAAATTTTGGCACTTTTTAAACTAACTTTAACTGTAAACTAACTTGGTTACTTGTAGTTCAATAAATTGGCCAAAAATTGGAAGTTATTGGCAAAAAATTTTCAAAACTGGCGTTTTTGCATGTATTCCCAACAAAATTGACCATAAATTTTCTGCCAAAACGTTTTGGGGCCAAGAAATACGACGGTGTGGGATGGTAAGGGAAAAAAAGGCAAATATTGGGAGCAAGGAGGGTTTGGTGGCAAAGGGGCAAACGTTGAGTAGAGGGGAAAGGAATTGTTTCGCAGTCTGAGAAACTTCAGTTTTAGAAATTGTGCAGACAAGATTGTACACTGTTTTTGGTAGACAAGGCTGTTCTGCAAAAATCTGTAATACTCATTTGATAAAAGCAGAAATGACTGCAAAATTTTGCACGATGCGAAACAAAAATAAAAGGTTAAAAAAAATCATTTTTTAGTGAAATTTCAACTGTTTATACTTTCAAACCGTTTGTCATTTCAAGTTGTTTATACTTAGCTCTAAATTTGATAAAACAATGGATTATAATCGATTTTTGATTTTTTGTTCCATTTTTTTTGTCTGAGGGGGGAACATGAGAAATGATTAAGATTTTAGACCACGAAAATCCATTATAAATCGTTTTGTTTACTTTTCAAGGATGCGGGTCCGTAAATCAATCAAAAATTAGTTGAAAATCTCACTTTTTTTGCAAATGAATTGTCTTACTAAAAATGTTTTATCGAACTGAACCGGTTGACTACCCTGGTTGACCATCCTAAAATTTTTTTAATTTTCTTTAAGATTTTTAGGAAAATTCCGCTATCTTACAACTTTCTTATACGTAGTTTTTCCTATAGTTCAAATAAATCGTTATTAACATTTTGAACGTCTTTTATGTCGTAATAACAGAAAAAAAAACAATTTAGGAACTTTTTGTTTTCTTTCAAATTTATGCATGTAAAAATTTTTAGAGAGTAGTGATAATGTATGCATTTCGCACAAAAAGCTCCGAGACGGAATATTTGATTTATTTTCAATGAATCTCCTAATTATAAGTAATTAGAGATTGAATTTATTTTGGAGGCAATAAAAATTCAACTTCGACGAATGATGTCATATAGCTTCGGACGTGTTGTTTGTGGGGTTCAGGTATATATCCACAAAATTTCTGAATTTCTGCAAAAATTAACTTCATTTTGTTGGTGTGTTTTTTCAGTAAACTCATGTAACAAAACGAGCCGTTTGGTCTCTGAGTTTCTGTTATTGTATCGAGAACTTTTGAAACAAACTTGCAAAAAAATTGAAAATTTTTTGTGAGAAAAGTTCCAATCTTACAACTTTGATGATAGGAACGTCACTATCTTACAACCTTCTTATACGAAAAAGACTCTATCTAGCAATAATTTTGGATCCTAATGTTGAAAGAGAAGTGATACGATTTTCATAAGAATGTTCTAAGATAGCAACTTTTGGTCAACTCGGGTAGTAGTCTCGCATAAATTATTTCAAAAATCAGCTTAAATCTTCTTTGTAGGTGTTTAATCTCACTTATCTTAAATAGCATATCCAGAATATGAGCTCCTGCTTGAATTATCAACTAGCTTAACAGCAGTTATAAAACTAAATTTCGCAATTTTAAACAAATAGCGTAAAAACGGCTCCGAAATCTTAGTCACACCAATGGGAAATAATTGTTTCAAAACTTTATTTTCTCGCAAAAAAATAAACACCAAGTAATCGAGAATACGCATCTTATGCCATCGAAAGCTAATTTTTTCAAAATTTTTTGCATAGAAAGAAACAAAAACGCTATTTTAAAAAAGGCTAGTCATACTAGTAGTTTCTTTCGTGAGCAAAAATTACGCAAACGGGTAGATAGCTCAATTGTTACTCTAGATATGTTTACAACCAATTGAAAATGGGTTTAGTTGCCTGAAATAATCTGCAAAATTCTTCAAATTGTTGTAACAATAAAACTAAATTTAACAAGCTTCAAAAAGTTTTCACAGAGATTAAAATCACCGAAAGATGAAAAAAATGTTTTGTTTTATTTGAAGAAAAGACCAAACATTTTTTTCGTTAGGATGCTGCAAGGATAAATTTTTGGCTTAGGAAACAAACTTAGAGCCCAAAAACCGGCTCAAAGTTTTTCTTGCAGCGAAAATAGCTTAAAAATCTTTAAAAAATAGGAAACTGTTTTTCTTTAATGCTAATGTAGAAAATTGCTTCATTCGGTCAAGCAAATACTCGCCACTTCAACCTCAAACTGCGTACTCCTGATTAATAGTATCTTTTGTAATGTGTTGGGGTGAGCTAGCTCAATTGGTTTTTACGAGGGATTGATCTGATAATTATATGAATCAGAAACCGAAACTATTTTTTAATCGAGATATTTTCAAGGGAAATTGATAGTGGCAAAAATTAACTAAAATATTTCTGTCTCTCCCCCCCCCCTCTAAATGAAATCGCACGGTTGATCCAAATTATTAGTTTGTAAAAACTCAAAAAAAATCAGGGCCGAAAGTTTTTTTTCCCCGAACAATCAGTGCTTGATTCTGATACAAAACGAACGGCCTTTTTTTAATTCAAAACTAGATCCTTCAAAGATAGGTTTTTATTTGCTCATCTTAATAGGCTTATATTCCTCTTTTCATGATATAAAATTGACGACTGACTTTTTTCAAATACAATCAGTGCTCCTTAAATTCCAATTCGCCCCTCAGACCAGTACAACCCATAGCTGTTGGCCTTATCCCTATTTTGTCACTCACTCGTTTTTTGTCAAAATTATTACTCATTCTGATTATAGGGGAGAATGCTGGACATTATCGTTGTGACATATAGAGTGATATTAAAAGGTCAAAAAATCTTATTTTTTTCAATTAATGATTTTTTTGGTGATGTAGCTCTTTCCTGTTTGCATTAATATATTTCGAATACTTCCTCATTTAAAAAGGGAACTTGTCAAATATAATAAAAATGCGGCCTTCTTTTTGACGTGTAATTATAACTGTGCGACTTTTCCTGATACATTTTGCCAATTTTGACAGGAGATTGCAGCAGAGTAGATACTTTTTGCAGTAGAAATTGGACGGTAAATTCATCAATGTGTCATGGAATGGCATGTACTTAATTTCACGCCCTGTTGCTCTGCAGCTTATTTTTCTAACCATGGCAGACTTTGTACAAAAATTGAAGGACAAGTTTCGAACTGCGAACTGCAGTCAGTCAAAAAGTGGCGATAAAAATAGAACCAGAGGGAGATCAATTGTGCATTGATAAAATCGAGTTCCTTGTCCTCATTTGATAGCTAAAAACGAACGAAAATATCAGCTAGGTCGTTTTTACTCAGTCGTACGTTCAAGTTTCAATAGAGCAACTTCCGAGATTATTAGGATAGTTACCTTGTGCCCAGTTTTTGACTCAACCTAATTACTCCCGTTTTGTCCCTACAGATGGTTTCAAATTTCCAAAAGTTCAATTGCCTAACTAATGGCATTGATTTAGGGTACGCACTGGGCCAGCAGCAGTTCCAGAAGCAACATCAGCTCCAGGTGCACGACAACAACGGCAATAGCAGCAGTAGTCATCACTACCTAAGCCACTCCCACGCCACCGGAGGCACCCTGCCCCTACCCCACCACCAGCACTCTGCATCCGCCGTCTACACTTTCCAGATGCCCCCCTCCGCCACTACCACTCCCGAACCCAACACCAACAGTCTCACACTCACTAAAGGTGAACAGAGCCAATTAATTTGATATATATATATATATATATATATATATATATATATATATATAATGCACTATTTTTAATCACTAAGCTCACTCAGGACAAAAAAAATATCTTTCAAATGGTATAAAAAATTTCGTCAAATTTGTTTAATTAAAAAGTCGAAAATTGACTGAATAAAAAAACCGCCCAAAGCATAAACATTCCGGACTTTCTTCAAAAGTCGGAACAAATATATCACCTTGTTCATAACATAGCCTGTGTGGGATGGTTTCCGAAACAAAAATTTCAAAAATGCAATTTTTATCATTTTTTAAATCATTTTCTAACGCAAACTCTATTCCATAGACCTTAAAGGCAGTCGTAACATTTCAGGTCTTAGCTCTCCTTGATACAAGCAGTCTTGTTCTTTTTCTGGAGAACATATTTTATGCTGAGAGAAAACCCGCTTGAAAGTTGTCATCGGTTTAGCTTGAACAAAATTCTGCTACCAGAACTTCTATCACGGAACTTCGGGTAGTGTCAAAAATTATATCCTCTCTATGGCTGCTTGGGTAAGTGTGAAATTACAGATGAAGAGGTTTAAAACCAGCGAAATTTGGCTCCGTAGTTATTTTTTCTTCAATTATGTTTTCTAATTAGTTCATTCGAGCAAAACAATCTACTGAAATTTCTACCCAGAATGAACGGGCCGATGATTAGCGGTAATTTCATCCTGGGAATGCATTGTGAGTGCATTTTAATTGGAATAGCATCACATTCCACTTCTTTATCATCCATTTGAGATAATAATGGGGGAGGGAGGGGAAGATTTTTTTCATTAGCCCAAAGGGAAGTCCATCTCCGCCTTACGTGGGCGTCCATTTGCCTCAAGGGTCTAGTTGTAAGCGATAAGAGAAAATTGGACTGTACTGCACTAAAATAATTGTACTATTCTGTCTTTTTTGTCATAATCTTGTCTTTAAATAGATATATTTGTTATGCTTAGGTTGCAAGAAAATAGTAATTAACAGCGGCAAAAAAGGGGCCACATGAAACTTGAAAAAATTCTTGTTCATTTCGAGCTATGATGGTTAACTTCCAATTTTATTTTTGCTAAAAAGTTCATTTTTGTTCGAACTAAGCTCTTTGGTATAACAGATCTGTCTGCAGGGATTTTTAATTTAAGCTGTTTTGCTCCTGCCCACTTATCTTGGTGCATTATTTTTCCTATCTTTATCCGAAAGTACTCCTTAATCTAATCTCCTTAATTTGGTTTTATACGTTCACCGAGGATATTTTAGATTCTTTCCAATTTTGCAGAGTAATGAACAAGAGGCTGTTAATCATAGCACACTTTTATAGGCCTTAAAATAAATTAGACAGAAGAGACTTTTTGCCTGAAGGAAAATTAATCAGCATTATAAAACCTAGGTAAGAACACGCGGTCAATTTTTTAAAGAAAGAGCCTATTCAGTCTGAACGAGCAATTGGTTTAAAAGAATAAAAGTGCAGGATCATTCGTTAAAATTTGAGAACGATGAGGCTATGTAAAAAAAATCAAAACGATTTTCTCGAGTTTTCAACTCGAGGCTTTTTCGGCTTATTGTGAAACAGTCTATTACTGAGGCCCACATAATAGCTGCTAGAAAATTAAGATTGAATAAAATTAAAATGGATGATAGAGCCAAAGATAACCTGTCAGAGGAGATTGAATTTTAATTTGAAATACAACTCCACGGCTTCAAAGTTCAAACTAACATTGTGATTAACTTGAGAGCAAAATCATTTTAGTGCAGAAAAACATCGCAGAAAGTATAGAGCTAACAGGTTAATAACAGGAGTTATCAAAAACAAGAAAAAGAAAACATCATAATTTCTGTGCAGAAGCAACACAGCCTTTCTAAGCCTTTCATTGTTTTTTTCTAAACAATCAAAACCTAAACTTTGGATTGTTTTTTTTTCTAAACAGTCTTCGATTGTTTTTTTTCTGTCTGGGCTTTGTTTTTCTTTAAAACGCAAGTTTTTTTGGCGTAGTTTAAGCAGCAGGAATTGTGCGGCACAATAGGAAAGTTTTTTCCCGACAATTTTCACGAAAAATTAAAGACTGCTCGTATTAGGGTGAAATTCGGATCTACTTAACAATCTCCCTCTCCTTTCAAGAAGGGGGGGGAGGTTGTTTAGTAGATACAAGAGGGGGGGGGGGGGGGAGATTGTTAAGTAGATCCGCTCTGCCTCCGCTCATATATAGTTGCGAAAAAGTTTGCTATCTCTAGACGAATGCCATTGATGACGCACTTCAGCCGAACAAGACTTCGAATCTGGGATGCGTACAATAAAACGATGTGTCAGTAAATTACCAGATCAGGAAACCGATTTATCCAATAATTACATCAATTGCGGAATTAAAAATTTATTCAATAAATCTTTATCTCTGCTAGAACAATCATTTTAAAACTACGGGGCGCATGGGAAGAGTTATTTTAGGTCGTTTTCTGATTCAATTTTTGTTTTGAGGAAAAAATTTGTCATTTTGTAAACATCTCAGTGTATAGCTAATGTGATTACGTAATTGAATCATAAATTTTCGGTTTATGACCTGGTCCGCCCGTTTTCGGCTTACTGATACATGCTTACCGATCTACCAGCTCAATTCCAAAATCTACTTGCGCGGTTAATATCTACTTGCATGCGTCTTGATTCCGATTTAAGATGGAACTGTTATCAGCCGCTCCGCAATTCTGAAACCCACTACAGAAGAGTTAAGCCATTATGTTAGATTTTTTGCTCCTTTCCTAGCTTCTTTTGGGTCCATGGATGTTCCCATTGGAATAATGAGAGAAAACTAGCCAATCGAACGGAGATAAAAGGTAGTAGAAATGAATCAAGAAAACACCAACTTGACGAAAGGCTGAAGAAACTGCGCATAGAACTAAAATAGCTACTTTATTGCAGGTCTGACTTCTATCCGACAGGTGCGAGGAACGAGCATTCAGAGACTGCTCGTTGATCGAAAATATTACCTTCCTCCAATTACATACCAGCCTTTCTCACGAGACATGGCGAAGTTTTGCGAAGGTATTACCATCGTATGTCTTTGTGTACTAGAAAACCCGGTTTAAAAACATTCCAAGCTAGCGTCTATTGCAAAAGCTGTTTCAACAAGCGCCAAAAAACGTGTTCAATCGTCTCGCCGGAATATTGATTGAGCTCCTAGTCTAGTGATACAATTTTCAAGCAAGAGCCAACGCCTATGGATTTTACGACCTCAAAATGGAAAGCTTTTGAGGTCGAACAAGCAAAAAAAGCCTAACGGTTTTTTCGGAATGTCTGTGAAAATTTACATGAAAAGGCCTCGAATTTGTTAACACCGTATATATTAATGGGTGCCTGGCCATGTCTAAAAAAACTCCACGGACAGTTGAGATTTTAAGGATTTGACAGTTACAACCTCCCGTTTATGGCGCAAGACACAAATAAGTTAATTGTTGCAAAGAATGAACTCTAATTTCACGAAAAATTAAAGACTGCTCGTATTAGGGTGAAATTCGGATCTACTTAACAATCTCCCTCTCCTTTCAAGAAGGGGGGGAGGTTGTTTAGTAGATACAAGAGGGGGGGGGGGGGGAGATTGTTAAGTAGATCCGCTCTGCCTCCGCTCATATATAGTTGACGGAGCTGTAAAAATTAATAGAATAATGCGCATATTCATTTTGTAGAGATATTTTGCAAGTAACTCTCTAAGTGGTGACTGCTATCAAGTATGATGGAGTGTTTTGCTCTGATTTGCGTTTCAGAAAGACGCCTCATGCGTCTCGTTCGTTGGTCGGAACAACCACACCGTGGCCTATGAAAGGGCGAGAATTGCAACAGAACTCAGATTTTCAAATGTTTCTAGAGCTTAAAAATTTAACCTCTGAAGTGCATGCTTTTTTCGTACAAATCGCAATCCCAATTTCAATTTTGCATTTTTAAGAATTGAGGGTTCAATGATCTTAAGTAATGCTTCCCTGCGAGGCGGAAGTTGGGATAAACTATGAGAATGAATGCTAATGATTTAATAAACGAGCTGCATAGGTGTCTGCTGGTGACAGATTCTGGTGATATCGGGTTGACGACGAAACTAGAAGGGAAACTGTTTTTTATCAATTGGAACTTTATGCCTTATTTTAGTGCCTACATTGTGTAGAAACGTTTGGTCAGACCGGCCAAGCATCAGTTCTCAAGAAATTCAAAATCTTGAACCGTGGGTTCAGCTCTTTCCGGTGGCGATCATTTTCGGTGGCGATTAGTCGATTTTAGAGAACCACACTGACTTTTTGCTGGCTCTGTATATTATCAAAATGGTTTATTGAATGAATCGTTCAAGTTAGGCATAAGATACCTAGTGCTTCCTAGTTTTCATCCAAGGGTGTTCTTTATCCATACAATCCTTCTTCCAGCCAAATTTGTCGGTAAGATGTAACAACCAAGAGAAGAATATGAAAAGTCAAAAAATAAAGCTTGACCATTTCTATCGAAAAAGATTTTAATCCCGCTAACTCTCAACTCTCTCACTCACACCGAAGCTTAACAAAGCCTCCAGTTCAATTTTTCTTCCAATGATTTTCCTAATCTTTTCTTTTTTCATGTTTAATGTGAAGATATCTCTCATCATTGAGTTTTCTTTAGTGCCAAAATGACAACCACGGATAAGCTCCTTTAGTGCTCCGATAAACTGCTGCATATACGCGTTTACGTCAACTATTCTTTTCTATGGGTGTTTTGAAAAACATATTTTGTTTCTGTTTTCTCAGCGATGTTGATAACTACGACACTATAATTATTCTGCGAAATTACCAATTAGGTTATTTTTTGATACACCAGGTCGAACTCTACTTTTCGCGCAATTTTTTCTAGTTATCGCAGAATGTCTTTCGTTCGTTAAATGAATTTTTAAATGAACTACGATTGCAGTTCAATTCAAACCACAAAATTATATGAAATTTAGTTATCGTTTTTTTAACCTTTTATTTGTTTGAGAGGGGACGAATTTATAAATGAAGAAGGATTACTCATAGGTTCAAAAGGCTTAAGAACAATGACGAAAACTTAATTAAAAGTGTTTTCTTTTTTTAAAAGTTTACTTTTTGAACTTCCAAGTTTAAAATTGTTGCCAACTCCAGTCACCGTCGGTGGCGTGAGTTGGGAAACAAAACACATTTCGACCGCGCCACAATTCTCATCCCATTATTTTGCCCGCCTTTGTCCCTCGAAAGAATTCCGCTATCTCATTATGTATTTCACACAATGACAAATGCACTTTCAATTCTCCGCTTTTTTCCCAAAGGGGAGTCGCTTATTTTGGTTGCATTGAACTTGAAGAAGCGTATCTGCTGCTGCAAACGACCATTTCTATATTTTCATTTCAATAAGACCATTAAAAGTCAATATAAAACACGTTTTCTACTTAAACAGCAAATTTAGTGAGTGGAGTGGTGGTGGCAAAAGTGGCATTATTTGCACAAAAAGTGCTAGAACCACTATACAACGGACACATTTTTACTTGAGTTTTGCACTTAATTTCAATATTCCCCCCACTGTCGTGCGCTATAATTAAATTTGTAGATTTATTCCTGAAAGTCAATTTTCCCATTTCGCCACTTCTCAGCTTGGTGTGAAATGGAAACCTGAATAAGTCAAATTAGCCCCCTTCTATCCCCAAAGACATCCCATCAGAAGGAGAGGAGGTCGAAGGAAACAGGAAAGCCCCACACGATGACTAACTATTCAAAAGACTATAACAAGAGCCATGCATTTAAAATTTGCATCTGACATAAATCCCCATTCTGACAACTTCAGCCAACTTTCCATTTAGCATTTTAGCTAAATAAATCTTTATTTAATAATATCAGCCAACATCTCAGCAACTAGTAGCCTATAAAAACTGGGGAAAGCAAAATTGAGTTATGGCTCTCTCATGCGTCATATACAAATAGCAGTTGAAAATGGAACCATAATAAGCATTCGAGCGTTTTTTTTTCAGCTCCAACTTGGTTTTAATGTTATAAAACAGGTCATGCTTTATGCTTTTGAATAAAGACGATAGAACATTTTGTAGCATTTTAAGTGTCTAATGAAGTCCCCAATCAAATGATTGATGGAAAATCCTATCCTTGTATCTTTTCTCATGCGAAGCTCTTTTGATACCTTTGATGTGAATTAAAAAGCTGTTTGATAATAAATACAAACACACCAGTAAAAAACAAACAACCTGGCTACAAATGGTTGACCTAGCGGATACATCAGTAACTTGTTCAAGTTTTGATTTCAAAATATGCTACAGACAGTGGCGTGCGCGGTTTTTGAGGGGGTGGGGGCTGTTGTTAGAATGGTGTTTTTCTGAAAAAGTGTCAAAATTTTGTTGAAATTTTTTTGACCAAATTGATTTTTGCGAGAGCTCTCAAATTTTATTACAACCCTATTTGCACTGTTGTCAAAAACAGCATTTTTGGGCTTTTTTGGATGTTTTCGGGCGCGTTACCCTATCAAATTCAGTGTCCATTACCTCAAAAGCATTTTAGAAAAATTTTATGGTTGGTCGGTCGTTGGTCGTCCTTAAATAGCTGTCGTAAAATCAGGGACCCTTTGGAAAAGTTTGGCAACCAAAATTGAGGGGTTGGTGTGACAGCTTCTTCCCTTCACTTCTGTATACATTTTTTTAAATAATCCCCTATTTTATGAGTTCTAAGATTCTGCTTTCAAAACTTTTTTTAATAAAACCTTGTGAAATATTAAAAATGTTTAGGCCGAAAAGGTTCCCGCAATGCTCCACCCGTTGTGGAATTCGGAGATCACAGGGAACAAGACTTTTGGCTACCCAGGTCTCTTGATTCCCAGAAGAACTCCAGTCAGAATATCTACTCCGAAACTGACAAAAGTGGAACTGCACCTTTGATGCGCATCCAGAGACCTGGAAACATATGTAATCCGAATAGATCTAGTGCAGCCATTGTGAGCGAAGGCGACCCTAGAAGCTCTCCTTTGGTCGTTCCTAGGAGTGCGAATCGAGGAGGCGACACGGCAGCGAGTGAGGGAGGAAGTCCCACATCCAGCTGTGGGAAACTCATCAACCCGTCCAATCAAATTCTACAGCCGCCATCTTCAGGCCACGAGAAGTGGAACCTTCCGAGAGATAACTCGTTCCGACACGCTCACAGCAACAGCCAGTCTTCAACTGCTACAATTCAGAGACAGCGAAACTCAATGGATTTGGACACTATAGACGAGGACTTGCAGTCAATCAACATGGCAAATGCAAACATCAGCAACAACAGCGGCAACAACAACAATCCGTCGGCTAATTTACCCGATCTGTGCCAAGATGTTCATCACAGTAGTTTGGAGAAGCAACAGCAGCAGAATCAGCAGCCAGATTGCCAGCGCCACGGATCCTTGCCAAATGCCGCTCTCTATCTGGCAGGCTCGGATAGCGGCACGCAACTGACCACAGTTGGCAGAACTGCTATCGTTTAACACGTAAATATCAATGATTTATGTCTCTATGTTGCAATGAAATGAGATTTTTGGTTATTTTTGAAATTTTGTAGAACCCTTTTGAAGTTCTGTTTATAGCCATGGTTTCTAATCGATGTCGTAGACTTATAAAATATTTTTTTCTGTTTGTTTGCTCCTGATTTAAAGATAATGATTGTCGACGTTGATTAATATTGTAGATAAGCTAAAATATAGCTTCTTTTTTTGAAAATGGACGATTCGATGTGTATGTTATATATTTTTGTTTTTGTTCTCAATTTATTCAAATTTTGCAGATTTTTTTGACAAGGAAAAAAGATGAGATTCGCATCCCTTAGAAATTCAAAATATAAGTTACAGTCGAGTATGAACAAAAGCCAAAATCATCAGAAAAACATAATGACAAAAATTAATCAAACTCTTCAATAGCGGGTATGTAAATGGCACAGAAAACTAATTACAATATAGAATATTCGATACTTAGTTATTTTATAAAGAACTCTTTTCCTAAAAAAGAAGCAATTTTTTTTGTCTTCAAAAACCCGTAACCAAAAAAAAATGAAGATTCTTTTTCAGAGGCGAATAGAACACAAACAAAAGCAGTCGAAAAAAAATGTAAAAAGTTGAAAAAAACTGGGTCGACCAAAAAATTGTACACCTCGATAAAAATTAATTCATTCTGGACAAACATAACAAGCAAAACTTAAGCCGACAAAACTGAGCCGACAAAACATGAGTAGACTAAAGAGTACATACTGAAAAAAAACAAGGTCCTGCCTTGGGAACGTTGGCCAAGTGGGAACAAGCTTGGAAGTTGTCACCGTTCAATAATAGGGCATTAAAACGGTAAGTTTTGCAAGGAGATTTGTTTACGGAAAAAAAAACTCTAGTTCCCGATTACAAGACTATTGCTCTCGCAAATGTAGAGAAAAATCATTTTTTTCGAACCCACAATTTTTTCACACGATTAGGCAATGTTGAAACTTTCGAAGCACTACAATATGTAGTGGTGAAAAATTCAGTACCTCTAAAATTATAATTTATAATACAAATTAATCACCAGATGACCGGAACAAACGCTCTAAATAGGTAAAACACATAAAGCTTACTTTAAGGCAGTTAAACCTATATCGATGTTGAAAACATCAAAAGTCGAGATTAGTCAAAAGTCGACATCAGTAGCCTTAAAACTAGACTTCATAGTCAAGAAAACTACCGAAAAGACGAATTAGCAAAAATGACTAACTTGACAACCATTCACAGAAACCATTCTGCGGCTACGCAAAAAGCTTACTATAAATTAAAAAATTGCGCATTTTGATTGCTTTTTGATTTTTCCGCGGAATTTTTGTTCTCGGTATAAATTCCATTGTATGCAGAGTTTTCCACTAATTTATAAATATTTGTTTGTTTTGCTTACTAGAAAACTTGGTTATCTAAAAACGTCGAAAAATCAGGATACAATGTTATTCATAATGAAAAAAAAATTCCGCGGTAAAACTTCAAAAAGCAATCGAAAAGCGCAATGAGTCCCCATTGAAGATGAAGATGAGCCACCATTGGAAAGGTTTTACAGTTTTTTTTTGGCGTTTTAAAAAACAAGAAATACAAAATCAAACAAAAAACTGACGAACAAGTTAAATTATAAAGTAGAGCTTTGCAATTTTCGGCGCTGCCCACATTATAAAAATGGGTGTCCTACAATTTATTGACATACAATTTAACTCCGTACATTTTAACACTTACTCATTTCACTACTAAACAATTTACATCGACAACAATATAACTTCTATTTTCCAGTTTAACACAGTACATTTTAACACCCAGTCATTTCACTATTAAAATTAATGCTGTATGAATTCCTTATCTTAACTCTTATCACACCACCCATTTAACACACGCACCATAATGAAAAACTTGGTTTATCTTAGTTATACATGCTAAAAGGAGGCTTCCCAATTTATTTAAGACTCTTATCTATAAGTTTGTAATTTAGTTTCAATCAGACTTTTCGCTAAACCATTATGATTACTAAAAAAAGCTGCTTGTGCTAATTCATAACAATTTGACGTAAAAATTCTGAACAAAAATTAAATTCTGACAGTCACTTTATACTTTACTCAAGTGATAAACAAACGCAAACACAATAAACACATTATGGTTGAGTCTTCTTTCGAATTCACAGTTTCATCTAAACACAAGCCAATTCTTATAGCGTGGGCCATCAATTTTATTTCAAGCGAAAAAATAAGTTTACAGAAAACTGGATTTGCTCAAAATATCAAACACATAAAAGTCGAGCAACTGCCATTACTGAAAATAACGAAATAATCGAGACGCGTGGAGAGCATAACCACGACATTTCAGCGGGATAATTGTTTCGAATGCATTCTTAATCGTACCTTTTTTCCGACCAGTTCACGAGTTGGGAAAAACCTATGGAGTAGGGTCTGTTTTTATTCAAGGTTTTATTTTCAAATACTTCAACGAAAGTTCGGCCGGGGCTCAAATGGGATACTAATTTAAAAACTTTAAAATCATGATTCGATTTTTCTAAATCAAAAACTGGTCGCAACAACCAAAAATTTGAAACTTTTTTTTAAATGTTCGAACTTCTTTGCTTGAAATTTTATGGCCGGATTTTTTCAAATAGTTGCACTTCTTAAACAGTAACGGTATCTCTGTAAAATTTTGTGATAAAACGAAATAATGTATTTGAGTTTTCGAAGACTTAACTACTTTCATTGTTTTCCCGTGAAAGATAAAAGAAAATAAATTTACAAAAATGCCGAAATTTGGCTCAAAATCCGCCCTGGATTATTATTAATTGTTGCTGTTTATTTTGGTTGTCTTGATTTCTTTTGAAACTAAATCACTTCTAGGCTGCAGTAATTAAACAAGTTTTCCGCTAGATTTTCCAAAGCAATTTGTCTTCACCAACTTCATAAGTTAGTTTTTTTTTGCAAAATGGGTCAACGTACTTTTTTTTGGATAAATTATAAATGCGTGTGACGCAACTATCTTTGTTGCCTTACTCTATAGCGTAGTCTTATAGATATGAGCATATTTGAGTAACACTTTTCGTTGGTTTCAATTTGATTGAAACAGAAGCAAGGAACAGCTTTGAACTACGATCCAAAAACAGTGTAAAATATAGCAAAATAAAAAACAAAAAAGGTAGACACCAGTTGAGTCCAAAAATTGAAAAAGTTTTTTTTCTTAGATAAGAATAAGTTTTTACATTTTTCTTAAAATAAAAACAAATAGCAACCTTCTTTTTTCTTCAAACGGCTATAAGTTATAACCCTTGTAGCCATCAGAAACTTCTAATCTAAGAAAATGAAACTTAACAAATCTTGGAATTCAAGTACCTGCTCTATTCAAACTTTAGATATTGATCTCAAATGATGACAAAAAAGTTCACAAGAAAACTGCACGCATCGGGAGCAAAATTGACAAATCTATTTGGTCAACTGATATTTCAGTTTTAGAAAGCAAAAAAATCAGTTTTCAAAAAAACATGTGAGAAAATATGTCGAGTACACATGGGCGGAGCATATCGAGTAAAAAAAGTTGCCAGTATTATATTAGTTTCGAAAAAAACTTATCACAATGTTTTTTCTATCTTATGAAATAAAAAATAACCACAATAAAACTAGTAGACATGTATTAGGAAAACAAGAATCGGGCAGGGAAAAAAGTCTATTTAAGTCAAAGAAAATTCAAATATACAACACATCGTTCTCACGGCGCAGCACTTGAGACAATTTTTAGGCTCTGAAACCAATATAATTTAAGCAAAAATTTATTGAAGCCAAAAATAAAGGAAATAAAAATGAAATTGCTCTCATGAGGAGAAAACTCCATGCTTTGGAAAATCAATCCAAACATAAACAAACAGAAAAACGATAGTCGAAAATTCTAAATCAGAAAAATGATCTCACCTGTAGAACCTAACCCAGAAATTTTTTGCTTTACTCTAGTCTATGCATTACTCTAGTCTAAATATGCAGAAAACCTCATTGAGTTTATTTTTATGATGACGCGCAAAAATCGCATGCGCAAAATCTGTTTGCCAAGTTACTTACGGGTTGAAATATAGCACTTAATTATATTACTTTTACTCGTTCACGAAGTAAAAAAAAGTTTTAACAAAACAATATCTGACAATTGCAGCGCTTTATTATAAATGCACTAATTTTGTCGTATTCTTGTATTTTCAGAAACTTTATAATAAAATTTGCAAACACTCACTGTTCACTATACATTTTAAAAATTATTTTTTAAAATTGAATATCATCCAACTAACAGTTTTTTGTGAATTTACTATTGAATGGTGAATGTATTTTGTTTTAACCGATACAGTTATGGCTTTTTAATTCTAAACACTTTTTATGACTGATTTTTTTCAAAAACTAGACAAATTTGAAAAACTGAATCAAAACAAAATACGTCGTTTGGCTAGAAAAGCTTAAATTAACAAATAGATGGAAAAAATGGAGTCTGATTTTTTGATAGAAAAGTGGAGTCTGGTTTGATAGAGATTAAATGTCAGTTTTCAAAGAAAAAACTGTTGTCTTAGAAATGTCTCATGATCAAAAATTGTTGACATTGCGAGCTACTAGTCAGACAAAAAATGAACTTAATTCTCTATTGACTATATTTTCAGCTGTGTTTTTTTTCGAGTCAATGAACGCAAAGAAAAACGACCTATATTCGAAGAAAAACTTCAAGTTTTCAGATAATGTAAATGGCCTTAAAACTCTTTTTGTTTTCAAGAAGAATTTATTATTGAACCTTTTTGCATATCGAGTAAAATGGTTGCCAGTATTATATTAGTTTCGGATAATAAATATAATAACAAACAAAATTTATCACAATGAAACCAGTACAAAATGATTGAGAAAATAAGAATCGGGCAGGAAAAAAATCGGATTGGAAATTTTTGAAAGTTTAAATAAATAACACATCCAACTCGCGGCGCAGCACTTAAAATGATTAGTTTAATGCTACCAGACCAATCTAAATTAAGCGAAAAATTATTGAAACCAAAGAAATAAAAAAGATTAACAAAATATAGAACTAAATCAATATGGATTTCAAATATAATGAAAACGCTCTGATGAGAAGAAAATTCTCTGCTTTGGAAATTCAGCCAGAAAAAAAAAAACAAACAGAAAAACGATAGTCAAAAGTTCCAATTCAGAAAACTAATCTCACCTTTGGAACCAGACCCAGAATTTTTGTAGTCCCATGCAAGGGCGTTACTTCTAATCTAATTATGCGGAAACCCTC